GAGCCCAGGAGGTTGAGGTTGCTGTGAGCGAGGCTGAAGCCACGGTACTCTAGCCCGGGTGACAGAGCCAGATTCTGTCTAAAAATAAAATAAAAAAATCCCAGAAGACAAGGGACAGGATGTGAGAAGGAGCCCCCCGAGCTTGGCAAGGCGTCGCGGCCTGCGTCTACACCGAGCTGAGGCTCTGCAAGAAGAGGAGGAAAAAAGGGCCGAGGCAAACGGTCTTTGTTCTTGTTCCACTTTATTGGCATCGCGTTCGTCTCTTTACAGAAGAACTCGGCCCGCGCCCCAGAATGCAGACCTTGGGGAGACGGTGGGGGGGGTGCCCCCGCGAGCAAAGCTGCCACGCAGGGCCAGGTCCCGGGAAGGAAGCAGACAAACTGCCAGGGGTTCCGACCAAAGACACAGCTCAATTCATGACGGGCCGCGCTGGGGACACACGGGTGGTGGCGGGGGGACGAGAAAGGAGAAAGCAAAAAGGGTCTCGGGCTAACCTAGGGAGACCACGCGCCTGGAAGCAGCGCCTTCTAGAACAAAGGTAAAGTCACCGGGACAGACTTGTTGGGGTTTTTCCCTTTCCCTGCGAGAGCAGGACGCTGACCTCATCGGGGAGGAGGTTGGAGGTGTAGACCAGGAAAAAAAAAAAAAAAATCAAAAAGAGGGAGAATGAGAATTTGCGCTTTTTGTTTTTGTTTTTTTTGAGGACAGAGTCTGGCTCTGTCGCCCGGGCTAGAGTGCCGTGGCGTCAGCCTCGCTCACAGCAACCTCAACCTCCTGGGCTCGAGCGATCCTCCTGCCTCAGCCTCCCAAGTAGCTGGGACCACAAGCATGTGCCACCATGCCTGGCTAATTTTTTCTATATATTTTTAGTTGTTTGGCCAATTTCTTTCTATTTTTTTTTTTTTTTAGTAGAGACGGGGTCTCGCTACGTTGCCCAGGCTGACCTCGAGCGATCCTCCCGCCTCGGCCTCCCGAGTAGCTGGGATGACAGGCGCGCGCCGCCGCGCCCGGCCGAGGATGACAATTTTAATTTGCCAAACGACGGCCATCTGTCCGATGCGCGTGAACCGCCGTGTTATGCCAATCAACCTTCTGGAAAATTCTTACACAGAAGTGGGGGGATGGGGGGAAACCCGAGACAGGTTTCCCTCCCCGGAGAGACATGAAAAGCTTTTCGGCTCTGAAGTCTCTTGAGTAAAAGGCCTTCGTGATCCTTGCGCCTACCGCACGCGACACTGTCGCTGGCGGTGGCCGGAAACCCTGCGACTTACCAGGCGTCATCCGAGAACGTGGGACGCTAATTCCGGTTTTTTTCCTTTAATCGCTTGCATATATTAACATGTACTGTAAGATTCTTTCTTTCTTGTCCTAAGAAGCGTTACATGATAAATGGGTACGGTCAAAAGATCCGGTTAGTTCGAAGGGACGAGCGAAATTAATTCATGAACAGATACGTACGAAACTCAGCCCGGGTGTGAGCTCGCGACCAAGCGGCGGGGAGGACAGCAGCCTTCTCG